CTCGCTGCGGGAGCTGCGGGCTGATGTCGGGAGCCTGGTGCAGCGGGCAGGGCGGCAGATGGCCGAGCGCGGGGCCCCCCAGCCCTCCCTGCTCAGCACCATCCACGTGCTGAGCGCCTACGCCGGCATCGGGGCGCTGGCCGGGGCCTTCCGGGAGACGGGGGCCCTGCTGCTGCTGACGGAGATGCTGTGCCACCCGGAGAAGCAGATCCACCACGGTGCTGGCAAGATGCTGAGGGCCTTGGCTTCGCACGATGCAGGTGGGTGCTGCTGCTGCTCCGTGCCCCTGAGGCCTGGCACCTGGAGGTGTGGGGTGCCTGGGGGGCTGTGGGTGTCAGGGCTTGTTGGCAAAAGGGGAGGGATCCGGCTTGAGCTGCCAGGTGGCTCCTTGGTTGTAGTTGTCTGGGTGGCTTGGGAGGTCTTTCCCCTGGCAGGTTCCTGAGCTGGGCTCTGATAAACTGTTTGGAGGACTTGTGCCAAGAGACTTGGCCAGAGTGTTGAGGTGTTTCTGGATGCTGTAGGATGGAAAGGCTCTGGCCTGTTCTTGGCAAGGAGCCTTTCCTCAGGGCTTGGAGTGTAGAGGCCTGGTCCTCACCCGGTCCTCTCGTTTGACAGGAGCTGCCGTGGCTCAGAAGTGTCTGATGAGGCTTAGGAGCACTTGGAAGGGTGCTAGTGGTGCTGTGTCCCACAGGAGATCTGGCTTTCCCTGTCCCTGATTTCATAGGGCTTTCCAGTGGGGTGGAGAGGGGCACTGATCCAGGTTAAAACTTAACTTTTTTCTTCCCTGGAACCCTCTTCAGTTGTTGGAGTTGCTGCTTTGGGGGAAACTTTCAGCTTTAGGGGTGGAAAAATGCAGTTGGAGCAAAACATTGCCAATAGAGATTGAAGGACAGACCGTGGTCATGGGTTACAGGGAGCAGCAAAGCTGTTCCTTGCCAGGGAGGGAGGGTGGGCGTGGGGTGAGGATTATCTTGATGGGGTTTCTGTTGTTGCAGGGAGCAGAGCCTATGTCCTGCTGTCCCTGAGCCAGCAGGACGGCATTGAGCAGCACATGGACTTTGAGAGTCGCTGCACCTTGCTGGAGCTTTTTGCTGAGACCATGTCCTCTGAAGAGCACGGCATGTCCTTTGAGGGGATTCACCTTCCCCAGGTAGCAACAGGCCCTGCGTGGGCTTTAGGGGTCAGGAGGGGTGAGAGTGGGGGTCAGAGATGGTGTCCTTGATGGGGGCAGGAGGGTAGTTGGCAGCGGGAAGCTGAGCAGGCCTGGGAATTGGAAGAGTTGGCACAGGATCTGGGCCTGTCTGGAGGCTGGGGAGGTGGAGAGGCATGTGGAGAGCCTTGTCTCTGAGCAGGGAGACAAGGGTGGGCTGAGAGGTCTGTGCTACTGCCTGCTGGTCCGGAGCTACCACGGGAGCCTGCCTGGAGATGAACTGGTGGCTCGGAGAGAGGTGCGGGCTGGAGGTGCTCTGCAGGCTAGAGCCTGACAGCTGTGCTTGTTGCAGGTGCCCGGGAAGCTGCTGTTTGTCCTGGTGAAGCACTACCTGCGTGTCACTTCCCTCCTGGAGAAGCTCGGCAGTGGCGCGGAGCAGGGAGGGGAGCAGCAGGACCGCGCTGTGCCGAGCCTGGGCACTGGGGAGAGGAGCTGTGTGAAGGAGGAGTTTGAGTTCAGCATGGCTCTGGCAAACCTCATCTTGGAGCTGGTGCATGTGATGGGCTGGGACCACAGCCAGAAGCCAGAGCTGCTGCCCCAGCAGGAGCTGCAGCCTCACCCTAGCCACTCCATCTTCCAGCCCAAGCCCCCGCCCTTCCCTGCTGCCCAGGTGCCCGCGCCCCCTTCCAGCCGTGGTGCTCACAGAAAGCAGGGTCGTGCCTTCCTGACGCGCTCAGACTTCGCCGACTGCAGCGGCTACGTGGAGTACCTGCAGGCCACCCTGGTGTGCGGCATGAGGGTGTGCTTGCTGGAGGACTATGGTGATGTTAGAGCCGGGGAGGAAGGCGAGGTTCTTCAGAGCTCTGGCAGCAGGTACACTGTGCAGGTAGGTCACTGGCTGGGAGGGCAGAAGGGAGTGGCAGGGGTGGCTGATGGTTTCCTGACCATGTCTTTGTGCGCGGGAAGTTGGACGATAGGCTTTTCACAGTTAGGACACTGTCTGCATCTGTCCTAGCAAGGAAGTCACCTTTTAGAGCTGGAAGTGTGAGTCCTGAGGAGGGCCAGTCTGGTTTAGTAGGGGCTGTCCTGCTAGGCTTGCTTAGCCTCTAATCCTGGGGGCTATATCCTGCTTCCCAGGAACAGTCCTGAGCCCTGGTTTGATCTTGGGAATAGGCTGGATGACACAAATGAGAAACACAGCAAAAGGTGTTTGAAGCCTTGGTCTGTGAGGGACAACTTGTGGCATCCTGTTGTTGGCACTGCGCTGGACACAGCCTACATAGCTGTCTCTTTTGCTCTGAGAGTGTGTGCTGGGATCTGTTTCCCTTTCAAGGTGCCCTTTGGGTGAGTAGACCTTAGAAGAGAGTTTGTGTTCAAAAGGGCAGTGAGAGCTGCACATTTGCAGCTGAGTTGCTAAGTCTGTGCTCAAGATGAAGGAAAAGGTCTCAGCATTGGAGGAGGGGGAGGAATCTTTCCAGGCGCAGAGAGACTGACAGGGTGGTAGTTCCCAGGGCCCTCCTTTCTACCCCTTTGAAGATGGGTGCAGTGTCTCCCTTTTTCCAGTCCCTGGGGACTGACTTCACTTTGCTCTGGTCCGGGCTCCTTAAGTGCCTTCTAGTTCTGGAGCACTTGCAGGTGTAACTTAAACCTGCAGCTTAAAATGCTCTGAAGTGGGCACATGCAAGATGATGTTTCCAGCCTTCTCTGCTAGTTTGGTGGTGGACATTAACCTGCATGTGCTGGGCAAATCTGACTTGCCCACCTTATTTGCACTTTCTCCTGGTCTTATTCCTTCTTCCCCTTCCTACTCCTAAGTTCTTGGGTTCTGTTGAGCAGATTTCTTGCCCACAGTTCCTCTACTTATTCACGTTCTTCTCTGGTTTGATAATTTCCCATTGGATGCCCTGTGCTCTACTGAAGTTTGCAATTGACCAGGGGAACAAGTGACTAAAGCTGGTAGACTTCAAAATTAGACAGAGTGTGTATTGAAATCTTTCCTATTGAAATATGAATTAGGTGGTCTCCTACTTGAAGAGTGCTTGCTGTCTCCATGCACTTGGGAAATGGGAGGCCTAATGCAGCGTGAGGACTGAGTGAATGAGCAAATCTGATCCCCTCAATCTGTTTCACCCACAGGTTTTATGGCAGTCAGCAGGTCGGACCGACTGGATACGTTGGCACATGTTGGAGATTATTGGCTTTGGAGATCGGGGGGAAGATCCTGCTGCTCAGAAAAAAGAGTATAGTCTGCTAAAGAGCTTTAATGTAGACACAGGTGAGATTACGTGCTGCATGTATGGCCGTGTAGAACGGGTTAAGTACTTACTTGGCTTTTGGTTGTATGGAGTATTTTTGAATGCTCGACTTCTGTCGTGTTACAATGAAAGTCATGATATAAAAAGCATAATGTTTGACTTAAACTGTGACTGTGACAAATGTGTGTTTGAATCAACTGACCAAACTGCCAAAATAAGAACACAGAATCTCTCTGAGATGAAGCTGATTGAGGCATCCTCCAATCCCCTTAGACAAGAGATGGGAATTTAAGGAACAAACAACATGCCAGCAGTTTGTGTCATTTCATACTGCTCAGTTTTGGGCAAGGTGAGCATTGAATGCACTCTTTTCAGAGGACATCTGCAGAATTTCCTGGAATCCTTTGTCATTGCCCTCGTACTGGGAGAAGGTAGAAGGGGAAATCTGGACAGAAATCCCTTTCTTGTTTGGTGTCTGACGTGACTCTGGCCAGGGAGACCTGTTAGAGTAACTCTTGCCACACCCATGATGTGGCAGGACATCTTTTGGGTAGAGTGATGAGGATGTAACTGCTGCAAGACACAGAATGTACATCAGATCAGCAGCTGATTCTTCACTTCAAAAATACGTTTATGCGCAGTTGAAAAGGTGGCTTCTTTAAAGGCTTCTTCCTCTTGTAGCTAAAGACTGAACTGCATGTGGGGTTGAAGTGGCCAAGTTAAAACACGTGTGTTTGGACTTTGCCTTGTTTCTCTGTCTCTCTCACTTTGGTGGAACTCTTTCCAGCCATCGTATCCCACATAGGGGCTGAATGAAAAGGGTAGATGCTTTCTGCTTGGATCTTGCCAGTTGGAGGCTCCTGGTGACTGGCTGTTGGCATTCAGCCCTGTGTGGAGTTGCTGGTAGTGCACTTGGGCCCCTCGGAGTGATTTTGGCCTTTTCTGTGAAGGTGGTGACTGGTCTCCCATGGTGCACTTGCAGAGAGTGCTGCCAGTTGTTGCTTAGCAGATATCGGCAAGCGTTGATCCAGCTCTTCCTTCTAGATTAGGTAGGGAATATCGAACCTACATAATGGATTTTATCTCCCTCCGTTTTGGATGCATCAGCTGAAAGGAGCATGAGGACTATGGAGTCTGGTTTTACTTTTGCCCGCGAGTGTTTGCCGTGCTAGCCAGCAGGAGGCGTTTGGGAAAGGGAGAAGCTCCTGGTAGCTTCTTATCTCTTGACTCCTCCCCGTAGCGTCTTGGGCCACCTCTGTTTCCCCTCGTGCAGCTTCCGCTGGCGCTGTGGATTCTGCCGCTGCTGCGTGTCCCAGTGCGTTTCCCTGGCTGGTCCAGACACTGTGGGAACGGGCTGGGGGAGCACTGGGGGAGCAGTGAGCAAGAGGTGCCCGTTCTGAGTGTGTGCTTTTTCTGTTGTACAGCCCAGAGGTGCAAGTGAAGGTGGTAATCCCATCTCTACAGCTTGTGGGGTCTCCTGCCAGCGTGTTCCCCCTCTCTCACTGCCCTCCTGTCATCTCCCTTTTCCACAGCAGCCTGTGGGAGGGTGGGGATCTTCTCTGCCCAGGCAGTGCATGTGAGCTCTTTCTCTGGGGAATGTGGGCTGTGGAGCAGAGGAAGGAGGAAGTGGCAGAGCCGACAGTGACTTCCCTTGCTCTGCTGTCCTACAGTTGCTCAGCCGCTTTTCCGCAAGCCCTTGGGCGGGCTGTACTCCCTGCCTTACCTGGGGGAGCAGCCCCCCGAGGCTGCAGAGGCCCTGAGTCGTGCCGAGTGGTGGGAGCTGCTCTTCTTTGTGCGGAAGCTGGAAGCGCGGGAGCAGAAAGAGATCACCTGTCTCATGCAACAGGACCAGGGAGAGCAGGTACGGGCCAGAGCCTGCAGTGGGGAAACGGGAGGGAGGGAGCGAAGGAGAAGGTTAGGGAAGGGCCTCGGGCCAGAGGAGAAGATGGCGAGTGTGAGCTGTGCAGGGACAGCCTGAACAGTGCAGAAATGGGACTGAGACGGGAGCGTGGGGGGATGTTGGGAGCGTGGGGAGCTGGGCCCAGCAAGGAGGTGAGGAGACACGAGGGGAAGCACAGTCCCTGTGACCCTGGAAGGGCAACTGTGTCCAGCGAGGGTTGGGTCGGCGAGGCTGGCCCGTGGGGCGGTTCTGCCAGTTGTGGCTGCGTGGTGAGTGCAGGTGGAAAGCCTGGGCTGGGGGTGGTTGGGCTGGGGCCAGCCAGAGGAGGGTGTCCCTGGGGGTCTCTGGCAGTGCAGCCTTTCTGCCCCTGCTGTCACTGGCTGCCCCAAGGGGCGTGAGGGCTGTGGCGAGTCGCTGAGGCTTGGCGTGACCCCCTCTGTCCAGCCCTTGGAGGTGGATGAAGAAGCCCTGATCCAGCTGTCAGTGCCCGTGGAGCTGGCCCAGAAAGTGCTGCAGGTCCTGGAGAGGCGGTGTCAGGGCAGCACTCGGCGTGCCCTGTGTGGCTCCCCCATCTACACCAAATACCTCCTCGGGAGGGCGGCCGCGCGGGATGGCGGGGGGAGCGCTGCGGTGG